CTGCGGAACAGGGTGAAATCAATACAATCATTAGAATTAAGCAGTTATGAAAATACATAAATTGATGCATATATATATGTATGTGCATGCATATATATATATATATATATATATATATATATATATATATATATATATATATATATATATATGTATTTGTGTGTGTGTGTGTGTGCAAACATATAGAAAATAGGTAAAACATGTTAGGTAAATAATCCGAAGTTCTTTTGTATTTTTGTTTTTATTTTAAAAAAAAACAGTGCTCACTACAAAAGTAGAGCTTAATTATAATTATTTTTTAAAAATATATATGATTCCTTCGCTACTGAAGAGTTCTCATGTTTCAAAAACGAGAGCGCAATATAATTATTAAAATTAAATTGAATTAAAGTATCAAGCCCTGTTTCATCCTCAAGCGAATATTTTAAATTCAAGATTATAATTCCAAAAATATTCGCTTGAGGGATATATATATATATATATATATATATATATATATATATATATATATATATATATATATATATTTACACACACACAATCTATCTATCTATCTATCTATCTATCTATCTATCTATCTATCTCTCTCTCTCTCTATATATATATATATATATATATATATATTGATGCATGTTTCATTAAATAATATAGACAATTTTTGTCTATTGATTTCAAGTAAATTCCTTTCATATTGTCTGATAAGCTTAATAACATTATCATTAAACGAAGAAAGAAAATCACAATATTGATACATATTTTTAAACCAATTTAAGCTTTCGGCTTGCATAAGCCATTATCAAAGATGACAATTACAGTGCAATATATTATGCAATACACGGACATGAAGGTGATGATAGTCTGTTTCTGTTTACATGGATGATTTCCAAGCATATTTAGAATTTTTGAAGCTATATACATAAAACAGTTGAAACCTAACCTGAACAAAATAAACTATGAAATCTCCACAAATATTCTTAAATGCCTATAATTGGTAACAGAAGCCATTGGTTTATACCGACGGCTTCCCATACTTAATACTTCTCGAATTCACTCTCGCGTGGTCATGTGTGACGTCATGAGCTGCGGTGCGATTTTCGCTTTCTGAGTCTTCTATGCACGTGTTTATCGTTGCTTGGAAATCATCCATGTAAACAGAAACAGACTATCATCACTTTCTTGTCTGTGTATTGAATCAGGGATTTGTGGACTCCTACCCAGTTCGTAATGCAGATATACCAAGAAATGAAACGCTCGAAATTGTATTTAAACAACATTGAAAGAAATACAAAATCTTTTCTCGCATAACGCACATCATGAAATATAAATGTATGAAAAGATAAGTAACCTCCATTGTACGTGTAAAATACTAAAGCATGTACAAATGCACATATATGGGTCACAGTGTTAGCCAAAGGCATTGATTCTCAACTGTCATAGAGTAGTATTCTCTGGAAAGTTAAGTCGCCAGATGTAAGCCATGACTATGTTCTCCTGCTTGTATAGCTTGTTTATTCTTACCGCGTTTGTGAATCTTGATAAGTTCTCTAAAATATATTATGCTTCCTAAAAATGTCAGACTAATACGGTGATTGACTTGCAAACTGAAAACCTGAAGCCTTATTTTTTTCCCATCAAATTTTTTATTCTTAAATCAACCAGCGATGTCATAAAATTTTTATTTGACACTGACAAGACAAAAAGCCTTGAGGGACTGAGTGGTTATAATCTACCTAACAAGCTTGTACAGAATGGATAGCAGAACAAACATAGGGAGAGACAGTGAACAAACAAAAATTTACTATGTGCTAAAAAGGACAGAAAACCGTGGAGCGCCATGATCGCAAACGTCTTGAATGGACATAGCACATAAAAAACAGAATGAGGGACAAAACTAGTAATTTAAAAATCGTAATAGGTGTTTACAGAAATGTCAACATATTTTAAACCATTTTTATTTTCATCTATCTATATACGTATCTATCTACCTCAGTTTGTTCACATCTGTCTTCATCTTTATGATAAACTAAAAGGAATCCACTGTGTCATTTTCCTCAAGAACATGTGTCACAGCGGATAAAGTTATTGGTTAAATCCAGTGACAGGACCGAAAGAGTGTGAGTTCAATATCCGGTTAAGGCAGTGGAGATTGACAGGAGATAATTGATAGCTGACATCCATTAATCATGGCACGTGGAACAAGATCAGTGATCGATATAAAGGGTTCAGTTCGACATTCCAAACACCAGAAGAAGACCAGAGCGTACAACAGTCGAAACGTTGTAATAAATATGACGACTAACATGAGGAAATAGTCCGAATAATCTAAATAGTGTCTAAAGGGGATAGTTGAGGGTTCTTGGGGATATAATAAGGAAAGAGGATGGAGAGTAATTAGCAGTGGTTAAGTGTGCCGTAATATTGCTACGGTACACATATATGCGTACACAAAAGTAATAATTGTATACAGTTAGCATTTGTAAAAACGAATAAGTATTTTTTTTCAAATAATTCTTTTCGCTATTTTTTGATTATGTTATTTAAAATACTTTATTTTAATATTCATTTTTTTTTTTAAATGTATTTTAATTTTTTTAAGGGCTCAACATAAAACTATAGACGGGACCCATTGATACATTTTGGATTTCAATACAAAAGGAATATCCCACATTAGATAAAAAGGAATTATCAATTTTATTGTAATTTTCGAATTATTATGTGAGTTAGTCTTCTCAAACCTAAACAACATAAAAAAATAAAACTGTGCTCAACTGAAGTCGAAATGTTTATCGCACATTCGACTGAACATTGAAGAAGTCACAAAAACTGTTCCAGACACAGGTTTCACGCTAAATAAGCTGCACAAAGAGTTGAATAGAAACATTGAAATAAAGCAATATTTGTCTGTGTATTTTTTTAATCTATGGTTTTATTTAATAACATTTAAATATATACCCTTTAAAAAGTTTATGAAGTGTGCCGTGATATTTTCATTTGCTTGGAGTGCCATTGCTTAACACTGGTCTAACTTATAAAAAAAATAAGTTGTCTACCTTGCCACCTATTTTATCGCAATGTGGAATAATAATTAAAGAGAAATATTGAAAAAATGTGAGAAAAAATGTCATAAATGAATGTATTCGTCGTGTTGACGGTATCTATTCAGCTATGGGAAGCAAGGAAAGGGACGTTCGTCAATTTTGGATATATTTTGGGAAATAAACTTAATTCTCTGTCTATACATAGGTCACAGTGTTTGCCTATGGTCTAGATGCGGCCGATAGCAGGTTAAGCAGAATGATGAAAGACAATCAAAATTTTAGACAGTCTCAAACGTTTCATATGTCAAAAATATATATGATTTCAAAATTATAAATATTATTATTGATTACATGTAATTGCAAGCATCAGTGTCAGTATAAGTAGTTATAAATAATTATTGACTCATTTTATCAGTGAGATTTTTGACATTATATCAAGTATTAAGAATATAGTAACAAGGGTTCGCGAATTGAATGTTATTAATGATAATGTCGTGAATTAAAATCCTCGGTTATCTCACTTTAACCCTTTCTCTGATTTATTATTATTATTATTATTATTATTATTATTTTTTTAAATGTATATTTTATCACATAAATTTGGTGAGTGCAAACTTTTTTCATTCCAAAAATGCGACCCAGAGGAAAAAAAAATTGGGAATCACTGGTCAAGTTGAAAAATCAAAATTCGGAATCACTGGTCAAGGTGTAAAACATAAATCTAGCGGCCTGAATATTCGAGAAATCATGTCAGAAAAATAAGCGTCCTCCGGCAGCATCCGAAACAGCAACCACTATGAGAAAACGTGATTGGATCTGACGTGCCTAACTGCTCGGTCACGTAGGACTTCCGGTCAAACTAAGCTCAAATGTTGCTTTTTAACAAACACTCTCTGCTGATTCTCGAAACCTGGTCTGTTTCGTAGCCTAACATAAGTAAAGACAATTAAAGGACAAATTCAATAAAAGAACAATATTTAAAAAGATAGAAGGTAACGATTGATATTGAATTTAAACTTGATAGGGAAGTAAGAAGCTGGAATAGAGTTCAGAAGAAATAGCACAGAACTTATGGTTACATATGGCAATCTCACTTGTAAAATTATGAAACCCTGTCGCCGATCTAGTACTGTGATGCACATTATAAAATCTAGGTACGAAACTTTTACAAATATATATATATATATATATATATATATATATATGAGGTATTATGTACACAATTTATATTATTCGGACTACTGTCCTCATGTTTATTGCCATATTTATCACAACGTTTCAGCCGTTGTACGCTCTTGTTGGAATGTTGAACTGAACCGTTTATTTCGCTCACTGGGGTAGACTGTTCTAGTTCCACGTGCCATGTCTAATGGATGTCAGTTATCAGTTATCTCCTAATAATTCCCCTCTCCAAGTTATCCACCGCCTTAACCACGTATTGAACTCACTCTCTTTGGGTCCTGTCACTAACTAACCCCTTTATCCACTGTGCCATGTGTCCTTGATGACATCTTTGTATGAATTTCTGGATATTATAAACCTAATGTCTTCAGCAGTCATTGTTTTACCAATGGTCATATTTCACTTTTTGCTGTTATTATTACATATTTTTACCAGAGCTCATATTGCAATTTTCGTTGCTTTTCTCTGGCACTCCTTATTACTGGTTCCCATATTGTATTCATTTCTATGCTTGAGATGTCGTTTTTCAATGGTCAGGGAGAAGACACGTGTTACATTTTACGGCGATAGTGTGCGTACACTTGCTACTGGATTCTACTCGGGTATTTTTGTATCAGTCCAGTAGCATCCGTGTGTTTAATAACTGAATATCGAGTTGGATAATCCTATATCCGTCATGTATGTGCGTCATATGTTATTCGGTCTTACGGGAATTGGTTGTGTGGGTACAACATTGATTTGTGGCGACAAAAGAAATTAGATATTTATATATATATTTAA